AGACCCCTGTGCAGTGAGTGACCAGCACCGGGATTGTCCCCTGTGTCCCCTGTGCCAACCCTGGAGGGTGGCACCTCCTCTCCCCAGTGATGGGATCCCCCATTCCCAGCACCTCCTGTGGGGTTTTACTCCTTTTTCCCCTGCCGGGACCCCCCAGGTCCCTCCCTGTGCCTCAACCCTCCGGAAATCGGGATGTTGGGATTATTGCACAAGGACCTGCGGGTCCTGCCAACTTTCTGACACCTCCTTCAGCTGCTGCGGCCTGGGCGGGGAGGCTGAGGGGCTTTGGGGGTCAGGGAGGGGTTGGGAGTGGACACCCCGGAGCCGCAGGAGGTTCTGGATGGACGCCCCGCATTCCGTCCGGCTGCAGCTGCGTTTTCCCGGTGCCAGAATTGGGGACGGGGACTGGGTCCAGGTGTGGGGGCAGTGGGGGGCTGGTGGGCCCCATTTTGGGGTCGGCTGTGGGGCTGCTGGGTTCCCATTCCCAAGGGACTGGGATGCTCCGTGTTCCTTCTCTCTGCCCCAATAACTCCTCACCCCAATAATGCCAGAATCTCATACTAATAAAGCCATATCCTAAAAAAACCCTGCATCCTGGTCCTGGTAATTAGTAATTAGGATCCTTCTTATCCTAATAGTACCAGCATCCCGGTCCTAATAATGTCCGATCCCAATAACACCAGCATCCCTGTCGTTATAATGTCTGATCCCAATAACACCCGATCCCAGTCCTAATAATGTCTGATCCCAGTAACAACAGCATCCCGGTCCTAATAATGTCTGATCCCAATAAAACCTGATCCCAGTATCACCAGTATCCCAGTCCTAACAGCTCTTGATCCTAATAACACCAACATCCTAATCCTAATAATGCCAGATCCTAATAGCACCAACATCCCAGCCCTAATAACCCCTGAGCTTATTGATGCCTGATCCCAACACCATCATCCTCATCCTATAACAACCCCAATAATTCCCAATTTCTGCAATGCCCGATCCTGATAACTCCTGATCCCAACAGCATCCCTGTTAATCATCCCGGCCCTAATGATCCCTGTTAATCATCCCGGCCCTAATGATCCCTGTCCTCGGGCAGTGATGGTGGCCGCGGTGCTTTCGGCACAGGCTGTGTCCAGGAATAGCTCTCAGACCCGATTCCTGCTCCTTTATTCCGCTCTGGCACAGGACAAACCCATTTTTCAGGCCAGCCTGGCTCTGGCAGCARCACGGGGCAGCTCAGGGCAGGCTCGGTGGGGACCCTCCCGTGATCCCCCCAGGCTGTGAATGTGACACAAATCCCCCAAAAAATCCCAGCTCGGAGCCCCCTCGAGGCGTTTTTAAACCAGGAGGAAGGCGGGAGAGCTGGCGGGAACCGGGGAGAGAAGAACTGGAACGGAGAATTGGTGTTTTCTTTAAATGTCATGTTTTTTTTTAAAGCTCATTTTTGCACTTTTGGCGAAGCTGAGAAGACTTAAGTGACAAACCAGCTGTCCCCCGGCGCGGCGCGGACACCCCCGCACCTCCTCCGCCACCGGCCCCGCTCCTGCGACCCCTCAGCGCCGATCCCTGACCCCCTCCTCACTTCCCTCACCCCAAAATTGGGGTGCGCGGGGCGGGGGCGGCCGCGGAGGGGTCGCCGGTGCTCCCGGCGTGGCTGCGGCTGTCGGGGATGCTGCGAGGCGAAGCTGGCGGTGTGAGGGTGCTGCCGGGTGGGTGGGGGTCCCGCAGAGCCCCCCGCCCACCCATCCATCCATCCCGCGGGGTTTTAATTAAGCCCAGTAGACGGGGAGGAGGCTGCAGAGGATGCTCGCTGTTGTGCCCAGMAGCGAGCGGTCAGCCAGGGCCACGGAGATCCTGTCCTCAGCCTGGACAAGGGGACAAGGGACAATGAGGCCACCTCGATTCCTCCTTGGGGGTCTCCACGTGGCACCGAGCCCCCCACGCCCCCCGACCCAATTCAGATCCTCACCTGCCGGCGCTGGAAGGTCTCGAKCACCGTGTCCAGCCCCGGGATGTTGTCCTTGTCCACGCGGGTCACRTAGCAGGCGCGGTGGCTCCGGGCTCTGTAGCTCACCAGGAGCTGTTGGAAGTCAGAGCAGGGTCAGGTTCCATCCCGCCGCCCCCTCCCCGTCCCTTCCGGAGCCCCTCACTCACATTTTTGTAATCATAGATGACCGTGGCCGCGTTCCCGTCCCCGCTGTCCAGGTAGAAAGTGGCCGCGTCCTCTTCCCAGGCCGGTCCAGCCCACAGCCCGCTCCGCAGGACCTGCGGTGGGGACAGGGGGGACCTCAGAGGCTGCGGCAGCCGCTCCCCGTGGGCACCGGGGGGTCCCTGATGGCACTGATGGCACCGCTGACACCACCAGAGAGTCCCTGATGGCACTGATGGCACTACTGACACCACCAAGGGGTCCCTGTTAGCACTACTGACACCACCGGGGGGTCCCTGATGGCACTGATGGCACCACAGACAGCACCAGGATGTCCCTGATGGCACTGGTGACACCACCAGGGGGTCCCTGATGGCACTGCTGACACCACGAGCGGGTCCCAGATGGCACTGATGGCACTACAGACAGCACCAGGGTGTCCTTAATGGCACCACTGAAGCCACCAGGGGGTCCCTGATGGCACTGGTGGCACTACTGACACCACCAGGATGACCCTGATGGCACTACTGATACCACCAGAGGGTCCCTGATGGCACCACTGAAGCCACCAGGGGGTGCCTGATGACTCTGGTGGCACTACTGACACCACCAGAGAGTCCCTGATGGCACTGATGGCACTACTGACGCCACCAAGGTGTCCCGGATGGCACTGATGGCACCACGAGCGGGTCCCAGATGGCACTGATGGCACTGGTGACACCAGCAGGGGGTCCCTGATGGCACTGGTGGCACTACTGACACCACCAGGGTGTCCCTGATGGCACTGGTGGCACTACAGAGTCCCCACTCACGGGTTCGGCGCGGCGCTGCTCAACGCTCAGCCACAACAGCAGCGCGGCGGCGACGATGAGCACCAGCAGGACCACCACGACCACCACGATCAGCAGGCAGCGGACGTGGCCGCAGCTCAGGAGCTTGCGGGGCAAGGAGCAGAGCATCCGAGGGACGAAACACAGCGACTTCTTGAGGCAGCCGAAGCAGCCCGAGCAGCCGCGGCAGCCGGAGCAGCCGGGACACCCCGAGCAGCCGCGGCAGCCGCAGCATTTGGGGCATTTGGGGCATTTGGGCAGGCAGCACTTGGGCAGGCAGCAGCAGCGGACGCACTTGGCGCAGCATTTGCCGCAGCACACGGCGCAGGACATGCAGCAGCCGGGGCAGCAGCAGCCGTTCTCCGAGTCGTGAGGGTGCGGGAAAAGCTGCGGGGAGATGGGGGGAGAGGGTGGGGATGGGTCCAGCCCTCCATCTCAGCACCGGTGCCTTGCTGGGATGAACTGGGCAAAGCCCTGTGCCCATCCGGACGCGGGGACAGTGGCAGTGCCACCCTGCAGGGACTCACCTCCTCTTCAAGCACCACCTGCTTCATGCTGCTCTCCATGGCTGCTGCCTTCTCCTCCTCCTCTTCTTCCTCCTCCTCCTCCTCCTCCTCGTCCCATCCCCAGCCCAGCCCGGCTGCAGAGAGCGGTGTTTTTATACCGGGCCAGCGGGGTGGGGAGCGGAGCGGCCCCTGAGAAGGGTTTGGTGGCCCCGGGGCGCAGTCGGGCCCTGGCATGTGACCCCCTCCTGGTGTTTGCTGACCGCCCACTCCCAGCCGGATCCCCCTGGGAACCCGCGGCTCAAGAGGCTCCGTGGGCACRGGGTCAAGGGTCCTTGTCCCCAGGCACGGGGATTTCTGTGCTGCCCAGGAGCGAGGTGCCAGGGCCAAAGCAAACCCTCCAGGGTGGAGCATCCGGCGCTGGCCGCGGCTGAGCCAAAGCTGGCTCGTGTCCCTTGGCCAGCTCGGGCACCTGGAGCYGCTTGATGTGGCCAGGAACAAACAGGACATGAAAGCTTTCCCGTAATCCGMAGGGATGRGGTGGCAATGGGGTCACCACGGGCMSGGGGAGTGTCCCCAAYCCTCATTCTTTGTCCTGAGGGTGCTTGGGCACCGCTGCTGGCGGCTTTTGGGGCTGGCGGAGATGGCCACCATGCGGATTTTTTGAGGTGAGGGGGTGTCAGCTCTGGCGTGTGACACGGAGACACTGCTGGGCATTGAGTTCGCCCATCCACGACCCCATTCTGCACCTGGGACCTCTCCAGCCACCCCAAAACCCTCAGCCAGGTGTGGGGGTACGCCCGTGCYCCCCGTGTTGGATCTGCCTCCTTTCCCAGGGTGTCAAGAGCCACAAGAGCCCCTCGAGTGTCCTCGAGTTTGTTCTCAGTCACCGTGGGAGCCCTCACCCTTTCTCTGGAACCCTCTTGACCCAGCTCCTTGTCACGGGCAGGGATTTTTTGGGACGCAGAGCTGCTGGCTCCGAGTCAGCACGAGCAGTGTCCCTCCCGTTCCCAGCAAAGTGTCACCCCCCTGACCCTCCTGCTGTGCCCGTGGCAGTGATTTTGGGGACATCGCTGGGTTTGCAGCCCTGGAAAGGGTCAAACAACCTCCTGGGGTCTCATTTTCCCCTCCCAGCCCCGCTGCTTCCCGGTTTTCACGTGCAGAACTGGAAGAGGCTGCTCCCAGAGGATGTGGGGCTGGAATGGATGGGAAAAGGGAGGGGATGGGGACGGGGAGAGCCGGAGCGAGTGGATTTTTGTGTCTGTGGATAAACCAGGGCTTGCTGTCACAGGGAATGTGGCACTGTCACTCTGTCCCCACCTGCACGAGGAGGGGACAGGGTTGGGAGTGTTTTCTGAAGGTCTGGAAGTGCAGAATTTGCTCCTTCCACCTCACCCTCCATCCTCCAAACTGGGATGGCACAGGTGGGACACTGGGAGGGCACAGCTGGGGACACTGAGAGGGCACGGGTGGGGGTGGGGACACTGGGATGGCACAGGGGGCATGGGGACACTGAGAGAGCACGGGTGGGGATGAGGACACTGGGATGGCACAGGTGGCGACACTGGGATGGCACAGGTGGGACACTGAGAGGGCACAGGTGGGACACTGAGAGGGCACGGATGGGGGTGGGGACACTGGGATGGCACAGCTGGGGACACTGCTATGGCACAGGTGGGGACACTGCGAGCATGGTGTGCGATTGTCCTGCTGTCCCCCGTGTTTGAGCCCTCCTGAGCTCCACACACCCCAACGTGAGGGATTCACCTCCCCACCCCGCACCCCACAAGAAGCCACCCCTGGGACAACGTGTCCCCGTCCCCAACACCCCAGAAAGGACAAGAGCACCACTTGGAGGCGGGACACAGGTTTACTTTGTAGACAGAAGCAAATCCCAAAGCAAATCCCACTTTTGTTTTTTTATGGCGAGAGCATCGGGAAAGCCGCGGTGCCGAGTGACAGCAGATGGAGCACCCCCATGGCGGGGTGGCTGTCCCCGGGATGGGGACGAGGAGGACGAGGGGACATTCCCGGGTGTCCCGCCTGGATGGCAGCGTGGGGGACAGTGACATCCCCGTGTCGCTGCTCCTACGCCCAGTACACGGGGACGGCGCTGCAGAGGATGTTGATGGTGGTGCCCAGGATGGAGCGGTCAGCCAGAGCCACGGCCTTGTCCCCTCCCTCCTCATCCTGCCGGACAGAGAACGGAGCAGGGACTGCCACCCTCGGCAGAGGGGACAAACCCCCAGCCCCACATTTCCCAGCGGGATAAAGGGGCCGAGCCCAGTGGGGYCGCACATCCCAGCGGGGCGGTCACCACTCACCTGCCGGCGCCGGAAGGTCTCGGTGACAGCGTCCAGCCCCGGGAAGTTGTCCTTGTCCACGCGGGTGATGTAGCAGGCGCGGTGACGCCAGGACCTGTATCCGACCAGCAGCTGTTTGCGGAGAGAGCCGGGTGAGCTCAGCGCCGCTCTGTCCCCGTGGTGCCCGTTCTGTCCCCGTCCCGTCCCCGTGGTGCCCGTCCTGTCCCCGTGGTTCCCGTTCTGTCCCCGTCCTGTCCCCGTGGTGCCCGTCCTGTCCCCGTGGTGCCCGTGGTGCCCATCCCGTGCCCGTCCTATCCCCGTGGGGCCCATCCTGTCCCCGTCCTGTCCCCGTGGTGCCCATCCTGTCCCCGTCCTGTGCCCGTCCATCTCCATCGTGCCCGTGTCGTCCCCGTGGTGCCCATTCCGTCCCCGTCCCATCCCCGTGGTGCCCGTTCCGTCCCCGTGGTGCCCATCACGTCCCGTCCCCGTGGTGCCCATCACGTCCCGTCCCCGTGGTGCCCGTTCTGTCCCCGTGGTGCCCATCACGTCCCGTCCCCGTCGTGCCCGTCCCGTGCCCGTCCTGTCCCCGCTGTCCCCGTCCCCACACCTTGCTGTAGTCGTACACCACCGTGGCCGACGCGTTGAGCCCGTCCCGCACCGCGAACGTCCCGGTCCTCTCCTTCTTGCTCATGGCGAGCTGTTGCGGGGTCCCCTCGCCATCCAGCCCGTGGATGGTCATTCGCAGCACCTGCCGGCGGCAGAGGGGTCAGAGAACTCTGCGGGGGCTGAACCCCGTCCCTACAAAGCTCCGTTTCCACCCCAAACCCCCTCCCGGAGCCGGTGACCCCGCCGTCCCTCGCTGCCCTCACCGTCTCGGCGTGTGACTCGCTGAGGTGCAGCCCGAGGAGGAGGAAGGTGACGTTGACCACCACCAGGGCCACCACCACCAGCACGGCCATCAGCAGGAGGCTCCTGAGCTCGTTGGGGATGCAGGGCAGGCGCGGGGACTCCGTGTACCTCTGTTGGGGACACAGCGGGRCACCGGGYTGAGCTGCCAGCCCCSGGGGTGGCAGCGGGGGCTCAGCTCCGTGCCCGGGCTGGGGGTGGCTGCTCCTTACCGGAGGTGCCTCCTCCATCAGCGCCTCTTTGGAGCTGTCGTCCATGTCGCCGTGTGTCCCTGTCGCTTTTCCAGCCCGAGCAATCCCGAGAGGGGATTTATAGGATTCCGGCTGGCTGGGAAGGGTTGGGGCCACTCCAACTRCCAAGGTGCCACTTGTGCTGTTTGCCGAGGCCGCAGAAGAGCCAGGGAGGGGACATGAAACCTCCGAGAGCCCTTCCCTGGCATTTGCCCCGCAGCGCGGGGGTGCCAAGGCAAACAGTGGGCAGTGCCCGCCGCCCACACCCAGCCCCGGGCGGGGACAGGAGGGGCCCCGGCACCCCCAGCACGTACCGGGGGGGACTCAACCCTGGTTCTGCACGGGCAGCTGCGTGTGCCCTCCCCCCCGGGGCGGGCGAGGAGCTGGCTGGGCTCATTGTTCCCTCGGGCGCCGTGCCAGGGGCGGCACAGATGGGCGCCCGGAGTGGGAGAGATGGGTGCCTGGGACGGACGGGTGCCCGGGGTGGCGTGGATGGGTGCCCGGGGTGGCGTGGAGCCTGCGGGGATGGTGGGGGAGCCACTGCGGGGGCATCACCCCGCGGTCACCCCGTGTCCTGTGCCAACCCTGGGCACCCCTGGGCACATCGGTGGCCCCCCCGTGGGTGCGGGACCCCCCGTTTGCTCGCTGCCGCGGACACGCGCGCACGGACACGCGTGCACGGCGATGCTGGCGCTGTCACTCAGCCGCATCCCTCCCTCCCTCCCTCTCTCCGTCCCTCCTTCCCTCCCTCCGTCCCTCCCTCCCTTCCCGCAGCACCGGGCATGGTGTGCTGCAGAGCCGCGGGTCAGGCGCCGGCAGCCTCCGCCGCTTCCCCTCCACGCTGACATCTCCTGGGAAATACAAAAAAAGAAGAAAAAAAAAGCTTTTCCACAGCTCCCGGGCGCAACAAAACCGAGAGCAGCTCCCGGGATCAAACAGGGATAAGGCCGGGGAGCGATGGAACTGCGGCGCGGGAGGAGGATGCTGAGGGACCAGCTCTCCGCTCGCCTCCTCCTCCTCCTCCTCGCCGTGGCCTGGCTCTGGCTGCCGGCCGAGGGGCGGCGGCCCCCCCGGCCCTCTCCTTGCCCCCCGACCTGCTCCTGCACCCGGGACACGGCTTTTTGTGTGGACTCCAAGGCTGTGCCCAAGAACCTGCCCCCCGAGGTCATCTCGCTGTGAGTACCCGGCTGGGGACGGGGATGGGGACAGCGTCACGTCACAGGGGTGCGGGGCTGGCAGGGCTGTCCTGGGGGGCAGGGACAGCTCCTCTGTGCTGYATCGGGGGACAAATCTGTGGCAGGGTGGGGTGGCGGCAGTGTGGGGGGCTCTGGGGACGCTGGGGACACCCCGSGAGCGGTCCCTGTGTCCTGCGGTGCTGGCACACGCAGCCATCCATCAGTGCCAGACGGAGCCGGGCTGCAGCCTGTCCCCGCCGTGACCTTGGGGAGCAGAACCCCGAGGGGACACGGCTGTGACCTTGGGGAGCAGCACCCCGAGGGGACACGGCTGGGGGGTCCTGATGGAGGGTCCCAGGGGACACTGCCACCCCGGTGCTGGGTGCGCGGCAGATGCGTGTGTTTACACCTGTGTGTGAGCATTTACACACCCGTTCGTGTGTTTTCACCTGTGTGTGAGTGTTTACACACCCGTCCGTGCGTGTTTACACACGTGTGTGTGCCCRTGGCCCCGGGCCAGGGGCTGCCGCAGGGCGTGGGCGGCGTGGGGTGGCTGCCAGCCCCCTGCACCTTGTCCCCTCCGTGTCCCCCCACCGGGCAGGGCGGTCGCGAGGGTCCCTCTGCCACCTCCCAGGACCCTTCAGGACTGTCCCGACAGGCAGCAGGTGACACCGGGCTGGCGCTGGGGGGTGGCAGTGCCACGCTGCCGCCGTCCCCCGTCCCGCAGCTCCGTCTCTCCCGCAGGACGATGGTGAACGCAGCTTTCACGGAGATCCGGGAGGCGGCTTTCGCCCACATCCCCTCGCTGCAGTTCCTGTAGGTTCCCCGTGCCCCCGGACGGGCATCCCGGAGCTCCCCTCGGTGCCCTCCCCGGCGCTGACGCCTCTCCCTTCTCTCTGCAGCCTCCTCAACTCCAACAAGTTCACGCTGATCGGGGACAACGCCTTCGCTGGGCTCTCGCACCTGCAGTACCTGTGTGTGACACGGGGACAGAGGGGTGGGGACAGCCCCGGGGAGGGCGCGGGGAGGGCGGGGGGGTCCTCGGGATGGCCCTGTCACTCTCTGCTCCCGTTCCAGGTTCATTGAGAACAACGACATCCAGACTCTCTCCAAGGGCACYTTCCGCGGGCTCAAGTCCCTGACGCACCTGTGAGCACCTGGGGGACGCGGCGGGGGTGGCTCTGTCCCTTCACGGCTGGCAGGGATGTGTCACCTCCACGAACCTTTTGTCCCSCAGGTCCTTGGCCAACAACAACCTGCAGACGCTGCCACGGGACCTGTTCAAACCGTTGGACATCCTGAGTGACCTGTGAGCACTGGGGAGCAC